CGGTTACAAAGAATTGAATTCAAACAATATACGTTACAAAGAATTCAAACCTACGGTTACAAAGAATTCAAACAATATACGTTACAAAAAATTCAAACAATATACTGTTACATATAATCTCCAACACTCCCCCTCAAGTTGGAGTATGTAAGGATGAAATGCCCAACTTGGGAAGAAAACTAAGAAGCTCGCGTTGTCCCAAGGCTTTAGTAAACAAATCAGCAAGTTGGGAACGAGAAGGCACATGAGCTGTTGTAATATGCTTGGCTAGAATATGTTCACGTACAAAGTGGCAATCTAACTCAATATGCTTGGTACGCTCGTGAAACACCGGATTCGCTGCAATGTGTAAAGCAGCTTGGTTATCACAAAACAATTCCATAGGACTTGAGTGAGTGACCCCAAGAGAGGTGAGAAACGACTTGAGCCACACAATCTCTGCTGTAGCTGCAGCCATTGATCTATACTCTGCTTCTGCAGAAGAGCGAGACACCGTTACTTGTTTCTTGGTCTTCCAGGATACGGGTGAAGAACCCAACATAATAAAGAAACCAGTGAGAGATCGTCTGGTAAGAGGACATGAAGCCCAATCCGAATCACAATAGGCATGAATTTTTAGGTCACAATCCGATTTGAGGAGAAGTCCTTGACCAGGATCTCTCTTTACATATCGAATAACCCGGAGAACAGCCTCATAATGAGCTAGGCGCGGTGAATGCATGAATTGAGAAAGGATATGAACAACATAGCTCAGGTCGGGTCTTGTGATAGTGAGGTAAATCAACTTACCAATGAGTCTTCTATACCGTTCAGGGTTCTCATATACTGGTCAGTCATCCAAGGCAAGACGATGATTTTGTTCTATGGGGGAAATCGCCGGTTTACATCCACTGAGCCCGGAATCAGAAAGAATATCCAGGGCATACTTACGCTGACATAAAAATATTCCTTTCTTGCTGCGGGCAATTTCAATACCCAAAAAATATTTCAGACTACCCAGGTCTTTTATTTTAAAACACTGATTCAGATACTCCTTGACTGCAAGACAAGCATGTGAATTATTACCTGCTAAGATGATGTCGTCGACATAAACTAAAAGTGCAAGAGACACCTCCCCTTTTTGCATAGTAAAGAGCGTGTAATCAGCTTTTGACTGAACAAATCCATATGCCGTCAACGAACTGCTGAGTTTGGAAAACCAGTTTCGGGGTGATTGGCGCAAACCATACAATGACTTTGTAAGACGACATACTTTATGCTTAGACCCAGTACTGAATCCAGGGGGAATCTCATGTAAACTTCCTCACTTATTTCTCCATTCAAGAAAATGCGTTATGAACATCAAGCTGGTGCAACTCCCAGTTTCTTGCTGCAGCCACTGCAAGCAATGTACGTACACTCACCATCTTTGCCACTGGTGCATAAGTCTCACTGTAATCTTCTCCGGCAATCTGATAATTACCTGCAATCACCAATCTTGCCTTATACCGTTCCACCGTTCCATCAGAACGATATTTTATTTTAAACACCCACTTGCTTGGAAGAGCACGCTTCCCTGGAGGTAAATCCGTGAGGCACCATGTATGGTTGTCTTCTAAGGCTGTGATTTCAGCCCTCATGGCTTCCACCCATCGGGAGTCTCTCATAGCATCTTGAAATGTACGTGGTTCATGACCTGTGTCAATAGCTGCAACAAAATCTTGATGTTGCTTAGAAAAGTTAGTGAGGCTAAGATAATTGCACATAGGATACCGAGTACCTGAGGTGACATTGGTTTGAGTAGGGAGAGATGAAGGAGTGTGTGTTTCAGCTACTTGACATGCATAGTCCTGCAAATAAGATGGCTGCTTCCTGGTACGGTGCTGGCGTGTGACTGTTTGACGCAGATTTGCTTCCAGCAACTGCTGTTGGGTTGATGCATCACTAGAACTCGAACTTCTTTCTAGTAAGGAGGACTCCCTAGCGGCAACTTCGTTAGTTGGTGTTGCTTCCAGCGAAACACTCCCCCTATCGTCCAGAGGAACACATGATCCACTAGGCGTTGGGCTGTCATTTGATGCATCAGAACCGTCATGGACAATTTGGCCTTCGTCAAAGTAATTTGGCTCTGTAGGCACACGAGAATTTGGTGCAGAAACAGATTGTACTGGAGCTTCGCGAAAAGGAAAAATATTTTCAAAAAATTTTACATCCCTGGACACAAAGCTTTGTTGCGCTTCTATATCAAACAATCTCCAACCTTTCTGCCCTATTGCATATCCGATGAAAACACATCGTCGCGAACGTGGAGCAAACTTGTCAGTTGGTTTCGGTCTTGTATTAGCAAATGACAGACAACCGAACGTGCGCAAGTATGTATAATCTGGTTTAACTCCATGCAATTCTTCATGTGGTGACCTGCCTTGGAGAACTCTTGTAGGTGTTTTATTAATTATATGAACAGCAGCAAGAATACTCTCCTCCCAAAAATCAACAGGGAGATTTGCATGAAACAGTAAGGCACGTGATACATTAAGGATGTGTCTATGCCTCCTTTCGACTCTCCCATTCTGTTCAGGCGTATAAACACAAGTTGTTTGTTGCAAAATACCTTTTTCATTCAAGAGTTTCACCATGTTATTAGATTTGAACTCAGTACCATTATCAGACCTTATTATTTTTACGGTTTTACCAAATTGGTTCAGAACCATAGCAAGAAATTTGCACATCCGATCATAAGTTTCACTTTTATCGGCCAACATAAAAACCCATACATGCCTACTATAGTCATCCACCACAGTTAAGAAATAACGTGCACCAGAAGAAGAAGAATTTTGATAAGGACCCCAAGTGTCACAATGGATTAAATCAAAACATTCTTTGCTGCGAGAAAAACTTATAGGAAACATTGATCTAGTTTGCTTGGCACGATGACAAACTTCACATGCCTTACATACTACTTTATTTTGCAAAGCTTTAAATTCTGGAACCAGAGATAAGATATCATAGGATGCATGGCCTAGCCTGTTGTGCCACAAGTCAATTGACTCTCCTGCTTGAACTGCCGAAGCTGAAGCACATGAAGGCTGAAACACATAGACTCCTTCATGAAGTTCACCCAAACCAATCTCCCTCTTCAGCACTTGGTCCTGCAAAATGCACTTTTTATCAGTAAATGTAACGCTACTGCTCTTGGAGTGAAGCAATTGGGAAACAGAGATGAGATTGCAGCGTAAGTTAGGCACATATAAAACATTTGACAAGCTGAAGTTTGTATTAAACACCATCGAGCCTTGTTTTGCAGCATAAGTAATAGAACCATTTGGTAGAGTCACAGATAGAGGGGGAATAGGTGTAATGTCAGCTAATAAAGCCAAAGTGCCTGTCATATGACGTGAGGCCCCACTATCAATGAGCCATTGAGAATGAATACGCTTACCAGATAATTTTTCATGTGACTGAGGCTGGTCTACCAATGTTAACAGTTTGTTCACAATTTCTGGGGTCAAAACGGAGTGTGCAGCAACTTGAGAAGAGGCAGAATGGGAGACGTCTGGAGGAAGAGAGTTAGCAGCAACTGGGTGTGAGGCATCCATTGCAAACGTCGCATGAGCATGCGTATAACGTCCTGCCGAACGTCCTCCCCTTCCTCGTCCGCGACCAGCACTCCTGTTTGGTGGAAAACCATGAACGTTCCAGCATTTGGAAGGGTCGTGATTGGTCCTGCCACAATGAGGGCAAGGTATTCTGTCTTGTGGTTTGTTAGGAACCATCCGCTGCTGCATGGACGTGTCTGACTGCTTCATGGAATCGGTTTGGGCTGAGTATCCCACTACCTGACTCCTCTCATCTTGAACGCGAGAAATACTACGATGGGTCTCCTCTTGAGTGACAATTGCGTACACTTTGTTGACACTAGGAAGAGGAGAAGTGTTGAGGATATGGGATCTCAGATTGCCAAATGTAGATTCATCCAGCCCCATCAAAAATTGATAAACGCGATCATGCTCTTGCTCCTCCTCGATTGCTTTGGCAATGGCACACTTATCACCACAATCGCAAGACTTGTGAGTTTTGCTGCCTTCCAGATCGTCCCATACAGCCCTGAGTTTGGTGTAATAATCACCAACGCTATCTCCATGTTGCTTGATATTGGCTAAACTGGATTTCAGTTGATACTGTCTTGGAAAGTTTTGCACTGCATACCTTTCCTCTAGGTCATTCCATAAGTCCTTGACGTCATCAAAGCACTTGATGAATGGTTGAAGTTTTGCATCAATGGTGTTGTGAATCCAACCATTGAGCATCGAATTGCACATCTCCCAGGCGCGCCACTCTTCGGCATCATCCTCTCCTGGTTTCTTGACTGAACCGGTCACAAAACCCAATTTGTTTTTCGCCTTCAATGCGTTTTTCATGAGCTTGGCCCAGTTGTCATAGTTGGCCTCACCACGCAGCATGACAGTCGTTAACAAGAGACCTGGACTGTCGGATCCAGCCAAGTAAAATGGCGAACTAGGATCAGTTGTTTTGGACTTGCTGCCACCACCTGGTGCCATGTTAAATGAACCAGCTTTCGCACTGAAAGGGAATGCGGAAACGTGTATACTAGGATTGCTCTGATACCAAGATAAACTTGATATTTCAACTGTGTGTTTATCTCATTCATTGGTAGCCTTCAAATAGGCGAACATACAATAAATGGTTAGCACAAGATCAGCGATTTGCTAACAGCTAACAACGTAACAGACTAAAACAAATAAATACTCTATCTAAACAGTCCTATGGTTACAAAGAATTCAAACAATATACGTCAAACCTACGGTTACAAAGAATTGAATTCAAATTACAAAGAATTCAAACAATATACTGTTACATATAATCTCCAACATTGTTCAACCATTGTAAAAAATATGGTCGCACTTATTAAATAAGGAGAGAAAATAAAAGGATCAAGAATTAGAGAAGAAAATAAGAATATAAATTATCGAAGTCTAATTTTTTCAAGAACTAGCTATATTTTTATTTTTTTTATAAATAAATAAATAACAACAACAACAACAACAACGTTAGAATGCTCTCATTGATGAAATGCACTGAATTTAAGTACAACAATAGTACCAAAAATTTATTTCTCGTGGAGATTCATCGAGAATGGATCCAGAATTCTACTAGGAGATGAGAGGAACGCCAGGTTTTAGCAGGACAAGTGGATTCCCCATGTAGATAATTTGTTGTGTCCATGGCCAATGGACCTGTACCGATTGAAGCGCTCCATTGGTGTGTTGCGGATTGCACTTCTTCAAGATTGGAATTGGCTATTGTTTCAGCACTTGATATATGAGGAGGCTAGTAGTCTTATTCCAGGGCGTGTTCCCCCTTCCACTCTAGTAATAACGTTACCTCGGTTAAATCCACTTTCAACTGCACTCATCCTAAGTTAGGACAAACAAACTTGTTTAATTGCAATTTGGTGTGGCATTGGAAAGGCCCTCAACAATCAGATGGTTACTCCTTGGGGTCAGAGCTAAGATATTCGTTAGCGATTCAGTACCTACGAGGAGTGGCTTGCTTATAACCTGGGGGGGTATGAGCCTGAGGTATCCATCTTGGTTCACAACACACAAACCGGAATATTTTTTTGGTGTAGGTAAATTCTTATATTAAAATTTTGTGAAAGAAATGATAAAAACGTCATTTTGCTTTCATTTTAATATTTTTATTTTTGCACAGAAGTTTGAAAATACAACAAAATAAGAACAACTTAATATTTTTATAATTTCAATAAAAACAGAAAACAGGGTTTGAGCAATACGCTAGGAGGCTACACTAGTTGCAATGATAACGGAAGCTGACCTTGTACGACAAACCGGATAACGTATGACTGCAAAGAGCATCGATGACTCGGGACTGGTTCATGGACTCTGCTTTAGTTCATTCTTAATTGCCTTGTAGCTTGTGATGATAATGTTAGCAATAATCTACTGAACAAAAAAGAAAAGGTCATCAATATAAGACCTAACTTCTACAGATGTCGAAGCAGCGTAACATGAATCTTTGGAGAATTACAAGAATTTAGAACATGGAACGTAAGCGCTACCCAAACAAAAAGGGTAGATAAGCGGTTAGCTGATTACTAGTGTTTTATTATGGTATGATCAAGTTTACAGTACTTCATTGGCCCTGATATAAAATGATAATCCAATCGTACACCATAGCCCATAGAGCATCAAACTATACAGATACATACACACTGCTCGCTAAGATTTCAGACAAGAATAATCCTTCCATCTTGTGATTCCAGATTTAAATGTCCTCCGTAAAACATCAATCCGTTCAGTCAAGATAGAATCTTCAAGCCCTTCTATTTCTGCGTGTTCCTTTTCCATCAACAGCTCCAAATCGTCAAAATGTTTAACTTTTTGTTGCAATTTCTCGATCTAGTTAACAAATAAGCAGAGAAAAATCAGTTAATCCTTAATATGGAAAGCTGAACCACAGAAATCCTAAAATAAAAAATCATGAGCTATCAACCTGTGAATCAATTATAGTTGCTACTAAATGTTCAATCTCTCTGTCTTCCTGGTCCGCCAACAACTTTGCGCGAGCAGCAGCAGCTCCAAGAGCAGTTGCAATGCCAGCTCTTAGACGCAGTGTCAATGGCATGTCATCCTTGGGGAATCTGTCATCTATTTCTACGAGAGTGAGCCCAGATTAATGGTAGCATGCAGCAATAATTCATAACCAATGTTTTATCCACCGATATATATATATATATATATATATATATATATATATATCAACACAAGATGCTTAAAAAATAAGAAACATACATGCATGTAGTTATTAATTTAAAAATAAATAAATAGATAAATAAACAAAGCAATCTTTTTGTCTCTAATGTCAGAAGGAATCCTCAACTCATGCATCAGCAAAGAAGCAGTGGCAGAGCTCGAAATAAAATGTTGCAATTGGGGGGCCCATACTAAATCTTCAGAATCATCGTATTACTTGCCAGAAATCAATTTTTCATCCTCAGTATTTTCTTATATTAATTTAGTCCCCACTCTTTTGTATCTTCAGGGTTTTATTATTTTAATTTAGTCCCCTTCGTATCTCATTTTCTCAATAGTTTTCCACTTCATCCTCAAGTTTATATTTCATTTGAATTAAGGAATCCTTACCCCAAATGGGTTACTCAAAACTTCTTATAGAGTAGAATGCACATCCAAGAAAGTTTCATTAGCTGCATTCAAGAATAGCACCATCATGAGGTAACAACCCAAACTTTCTTCCAACAAGGCAAATGAACTCACCATTGAGTAACCAATGCTCTCCATAAGGTTGTTTCCTATACAGTGTCCACGCACCAAAATCTCATTTTTAGTGACCAATTAATCTTTGTATTATAAGTATTGAGAAGCATAACTGGCAAAAGTTATGAAGAAAAATAACAGGCTTAATTCATGTAATCAGCTTCATACAAATGCAAGATAAAGCTGCCTACTACAAACCACACAATTAGTCTGACCCTTCCCTGTACCCTATGCATAGTGAGAACTTTATAACACTAGGCTGCCTTTTTTCATAACTTTTGCATTTGAGGAAGCCAATTATTTTTTGTTTCATGTATCTCTAAGAAACTAGATAAGTTTTGGGGACTTAAATGTATTAGAAAGCTGTGGTTTGACAAAAGAATATCAGAATATAAAATTAAAAATACCTGACATAGTGGACCTCTCCATCTCTAAACCTTCACCCTCAAGGGCCCTGACACACATAATAACAAGTATAAGGATTTTAAAAGGCAAGGGCTCAATTTAAGAACAACCTACCATGTAGCAAAATCTGAAGGATAAATAAAAGTAATCCACTAGTAGATTTATGATGTAGATAACCTTGCTGAATAACTATTCAGAGAGTTCGCACCAGAAGCATAATCCTCTTCAACATCAAATATCTCCCTTGGACATGAATTTTCATGACAAAGTGCTGTTATAGCAGCATCAGCAGCGGCAGCTGTGATATGAGGGTCAACCACGGTCGAAATCAGTCCCACCTAATTCAAAACACCATTAACTCATGGTCATATCAAAAAAAGGTGAAAGAAAATAACTGATTCACGTATACATACACACACATGCACTTTAATCCCTAAGATTAAAAAAAATGAAAAATAGTACAATTAACCAAAATGTAGATATCATAATGAATGGAGGCTAAAATGATATCAGTAGTCACATACTCTTTTCCCTGGTCATTGTACACTAGAGCTGTGGTAACTAAAGAAACATCTACAGAACTCCCCAGCAACAAGGGAAATGCAATCAGATTTAGCAAATAAGGCATACAATAAGGATATAAAATTCAAGATTATCTCTTACCTGATTCATCAGTGAACTGCTGGAATCTGAAAGGGCAGCAACGCGCTGTCTTTTTGAAGGACTTTCCTTCACAGCTTCTCCATTCTGCTCGTTTTCATTTGTAAGCTTAGGAGATTGGTCCTCTGTCTTTGAAGTTTCTTGGTGATCAGATGAAGACTGAACTTGTTTTGCACTGTTCATGGTGCCATTACTATTACTGCCACCATTTCTGCGGGCAGAGCCCAACATGAGCTCCCCAAAGGGCAGCTCAATAAGCTTTGAGATACAATCAAGTTTAGTCTTGGTTTGAACACTTTGAGCAACAAGTTCCCAATCATCCCCATGCTTCAAAACAGATTCTAAAAGGAGAAGAGTTTCTCCCTCAGTCCAGACAGTGCCGTGTTTGCCGCTATTTTCACTTGACTCAACTAATATGAAACCCTCCATGGACCTTTTCTCCCCATAATTCCCATTTTTGAAACATTTTGTACAAATAATGAAATTATCCTGCCATGTTATGAATTAAAAAAAATTAACTACAGATGATATTAGTTTCAGCAATGCAAGTGAAATTGTAGATTGTAAGGTTAAAAACATGGGATGTTAATAAATTTGCATGAAGAGGCAGAAAAAATTGTGATAAATCTCCCCTAAATTTAACTTCAAACATGCTCTGACGGCACACATTCAGTGAACATAGGATAAACTCTGTTTTCTAACAAGGAAAGCAAGAGGGTAAGAAGAAGCAATATTTGCACAGCTGAACATATGAATGGATATTATGCGTTGCAAAATTATGTCAGAGATATTATACATGCTTGCTTTACTAATTGTAAGAAAAAAGAATATGGGGTTAAAATAGTTTCCAAATTACAACCAAAAAGGTGATAGCCCAAAGAATAAATCACTTATATTTTATTATCTACTTTTTTCATATTATTTGTTGTATTAAGCAAGTGTAAAGTTATTTATATTACAAGAATTTTTTCACCTCACTAGTAAGCTCACACAATACCCTTGTTTGGGAGCTTTTCAAATGAAGGATTATCACGCAATCCTCCAAATCCCCGCTGACTCACTTTTACAAAAACCGAAAATTAAATTCCACCCAATCTGGAAGATTTTAAACATCCAAACAAGGGGAAGAAAACTAAACCTAACCTCTCACCCTCTTCCTTTCCTTTTCATGTTCTTCCTATTCCTTCCCCTTCCAATCTAAACATACCGTTAGTGCTTAGTAAATGTAAACAGGTACACGTATGACATGAGGACTGATCACTGATGTACAGACTAAAACCTAGGACCTGTATTCTCTACCAAAATCCCTACCCAACCCAAACCACCAGACCTAAGCCCAAGTGACCAATTTCCATGTCCTAAAAATATTGTATTAATGATACCCTAATCCTTCACTCAGGTATTAATTATACAGAAGAATACTGCTGAAATAGGAAATAGAACATGATAACTACATCAGGTATGACTAAGATAAACCAATGTGATAATATATAAAAATTTACATAAAATAAAACAAAACAAATAACCTGGGTACTCTGGTAGTGTCCAGAACCACATTTTTCACCGCAAAGCCCACAATTCAACTCCTTCCGCCGTATCAAATCGCCATAAACATCCGAGTACGACGCCAGAGGCGGCAATTTGAGACCAGCCCCACCCGAATTCCCACCAGTTTTCGGGTTATTGCGAGGCAAGGAAATGGGTTTCAACGAGTTCGGCGTCGCCACCACCCGAATCCCATTGGGGGCTCCTTCCTCAACCCTAACCTTGCACCTCTCCTCCTCCTCCTCTTCCTCATCCTCCGCGTCCACACCTGAAGACGCGCCGTAGTTGATCAAACCCCAATTCTCCAAGAACAGAAACACCTTGTGCAGGAACGTGACGTCACCCACCAGCGATTTTCGCACTTCGGTGAACGTGAGCCTCCTCGAGGGTTCTTCCCTGTACTTGTTGATGATGAAGTCTCTGTATTCTTTGTATATCTTCGGCGTTCTCGATATCGAGCTTCCATCGAAGAATTCCTTGAACGCTGTTTCCTCCATTTCGTGGATTTCGTCCCACACAAACCATTCTAGCCAAAAACGACAGCGGTTAGGTAGAAATTGGAAAGAGTAGGATTTTTTTGCGGAAATGGTAAAATTAGGGGTTTAGAGAGACAGAGAAGGAGTGCTTACTGGAAGAGCTTGGAATGGTGTAGAGTTCGAGCTCTGAATCTGAATCTGAATCGTTGATCTGACCCGGGTTTGAATTTAGGTCTTTTGTGACTTCCATACTATATTGTAACAGGAGCCTCCAACAGTCCAACTCACCGAAATATGGTTGATCTATTATTCCTAGCTGTTATCGGCGTCGTTGGAACTTAGCAGCAAACAATGCAATAATATGATCTTTTTTATTATTAACGACCTAGTTCAGATGCATAATTCAAACCCTAAACTTATGTTCGACTCATTTTGTAGATAGTTTGATTCTCTTTCGTTGATTGTTAATGAGGGAAATGTGTTTCTCGTTCTAAATGATACAACTGTATCATTTTAATTAAAACGATGTCGTTTAGTATATAACGAATGACTTTTATCTTTTATTCTCTTTTTATAATTTTTCAGAAAAGAAAAAATATAAAAAATTAATAAATATAAATCAAAATTACGTTATTTTATTTAAAATGACATAAAATCAAGTGATAAATATATTTTTCTCATTAATAAATACTGCTATTTTTTAGTAATAAAATCAAACTATCAAGAAGTCCACAATATTTTGGGCAAGAAGACAGAGTTGTCGATATATCTACGCCTGCACATGTCATAAGTCAAATAACATCGAGGGATGTAGATGAGGATGAGCAAGAAGAGGATATGGAGAGTGATGAAAAAAATAGTTCAGTACATTAAGGAAATACATGAAATAAACAAAAAACACATGAACATCAGACTGAACTCTAAATCTACTCCTGGTCTTCATCAGACTCGGTCTCCTCGTCCTCCTCATCTGACACATGATCCCCCTCCTCTGCTACCTCCTCAACATCCTGTCCTCATGCAAGCTCCAGACGAGCAAGCCTATCCTCCACACCCTTGAACCGACTCTGAATATGCCTAAACATTTCATTCCCCTTCTGAATATAACTCTTCCTTCATCGTTTCTGTTTAAGCGCCATCTTATCTATCTTCTTAAGTGTGGCATGTATGCCTTTCATGATATCACGAAGGGAAAATGCACCCTCAGGCTCAACTATCTACTCTAGGTCAGCCTGATCCAAGGGCGGACCCAGGGGGTGCTAGGGTTGGCGCCCCCCCCCCCCCCCCAATTTGAATAAATTTTTTTAACATAAGTATAATGGAAGAAACCTTCATTTTTCCTCTCCATTAATGTGAAGTAGTTTTCTCCCACCACAGAGTTTATAGAGCTTCTTTGTATTCTCAAGTCCTATATCTATTGAAACCCCTCTAACTCTGACTGCATTTTTTCTCCCTCCAGTAAAGTTAACGAAATAAACAAAACAAAAAAAGAATGAGAAAGAGTGCAGTACCATGATTAGATCTTGTTGAAGTGAAAAGTAAGCTCAGGGTTTAGTTTGGGGGTTTTATAGAGAGTTCAGAGATAGAGAAAAGAAAGTCACAATTATCAAATCCAGGATTTAATGCTTTTTTGTCCTTTTTTGCTTTAACAAATATAGGTTTATTTAAGATTACATCACAGTGTTGGGAGTATCAGTGACCACCAATAGAACTACATGGTTTCTCTTCGTTCAAATTCTTTTAGCTACGTGGCGCTTGTTTGTTGGCACAGACCTGGTGGTAACAATTAGCATATGGAATTAGTATTAAATTATGGGAAAAGATCTGTTTACAATTTTTTTTTACAAATTACACTAAGAGCCTGTTTGGATCCTCTTATTTTTAAGCTAGAAACTACTTATAAGCTAAAGCTAAAAAAAAAGTTAAAAGTTGCTTGGTAATTATATAAAAAATTTAGCTTAAAAGCACATATTTCAAAAAAAGTGTCTCTCTATCTATCTTTATAACTCTTCATTTAAAAAAAATACATAATTCAAGAAAAACAGATAAGAGCTTTTCATTATAAGAATTTTTCTCAAAACCTGTTTAGCCTAGCTTATGCTTATAAGTAGGTTCTAGCTTAAAAAAGAGAACGTCCAAACAGGTACAAATATTTAATTTTTCGTATTTTGGCCTCCCACATATTATGTTTGAAGAGAGAAATAAATGTTTAATTTTTAGCCCCCCACAGGAAAAATTCCTAGGTCCGCCACTGCCTGATCATCCTCTTCCTCATCATCTGCCTCAAGCTCAACCACGTGTGCATCTAGGGCAACATCAGGCACCTCAACCTCAACCGTACTTAAGAAATGGCACAAACCCGCCCTATTCTTGGAGATCTTGCACTGCTCCAACAGACGCTTTCCAAACTTGGCAGTATAGCCTGTGGGCCTCTTCAGCTGCTCAGTGTCTATGGGAACACCAAAGTGAACCAATATCTTCTAAATCAAAGAGGCGAATGGAAGTGCACCCTTATGCTTGGCCTTATACATCATCCAGCAAATATAGTGCCTCCAAATTACCTATATGTCATGACGAATAGCATACATGATAGGAATGTCATATTCCAACACCCTAGAATGATAGAAAGCTCGCGGGAACAGTATGTGGGTGATGACGTAGTGTAATATACGGGCAATAAAACTGAGCAACCCCATAGTGTGATGAATAGTCTGCCCACATCTGATATCAGGCCTCTTGGCCTCGTCCACAGCATCACCTCGGACAAATCCAGGAAGTGGTACACCGTTATCTGCATCAAACTCGACAGTGGGCTGAACATCAAAGTCATATCCTAATAACTCCGCCCATATCGGTGCTTTCATTAGTATCTCCTTTCCGCAAATGCGGGATCCCAGTTCACTATGTACATAACTGAGATTATGGTAGAAGTCCCTCGTCATAACCTCTAAATAGGGATAAAGCATCTCAGCCATCACCCTCAGATGTGCTCCCTCCAACACAGCCACAATGTCAAATCTCAAAGGCTTCTCTTGCATTGCCGGGCATGAGCGGTTTTATTGCAGAACTAATAGTTTTTTTTGGAATAATTACCCTCTGTCATAAATAAAGTGGTATCCAATGATTTTGGCTGACATATGGGTCTGCTCACATGGTCGCGTATAAATGCAGCATGCATAGAGGGGTCATCCTCAAACAAATACCCTAATGGGAGGTCGACGGACTCAGGCTCAAGCTCTTGTGGCCTTGAAGAAGAAGGCTGGTCTTGTTGTTGTTTCGTCTGTCTCTCACCATCGGTATTGTTTGATCGTATGAGGCCAGCCATTACAACAGCTCAAACCTAAAATAACACATCGTAATGTATCAACAACCAATAAAACATAATAAAAAAAATAAAACCCACAATTTCGTCCAAAAAAATAAATAAATCAAAAACTATGGGGGAAAAACCCTAAATCCATCAACATTCATCAAAACCCTAAACTAAATAACCATCAAACAATAGAATAAAATAAGATATCATGCCAATCAAACAGAATCCTACCCATTCGGTCTACACTTCTTAAATCTGAAAAGTAACAACAAAAAATAATGCAAATCGAAGCAAACTTACCGTGGAGGATGAAGAAACTAGTAGAAGAACTTGTTTTCTAAATCCACACGATTGGACGAAGATTTATGAGCAAAATCTCGAGTTGGGTCTTTTTCTTGGAGGGTTAATCGATTAGGGTTGCAATATAACTAACCCCTTTGCCAAATGGGGGGTTTTTAAAAAACCCATCTGCCGAGACCTAATCGATTAAATTATTATTTTAATAGATTAAATAACGAGATTTTGAAACTTGATTCTGGCGTGATTTAATCGATTAAGAAGAAGATTTAATCGATTAATCACGGGTCAACCTTTATCCGTTTATTGACTGTTTAACTGATTAAATTACTAAGTTAATCGATTAAAAAGGGACAGGTTGGTGGATAGTTTTGGGAAAGGGGAAAAATAATTATTATTTAATTAATGAAGGGCAAAAGGGTCAAAAAGTCCAAGAAATTGATTCAAACTAATTAAAAATAATTATTTGGGTCAATCTGGGTTTGGAAAAAAATTTCGGACAACCTAATCAGTACGGGTTAATTGAGTTAGATCGTTAGGACATATATTTATAATTTTAAAATAAATTTCATTTAAAAATAATAACAATAAAATAAAAAATATATGTTTTGTCTAATCTCATATAAGACTCGACCTTAGTTGAGTTTTTTTTATGAAAATAATGGTGTATGACATTTCTTGTGTCATGTCATAAACACATAAATATTATGCGTCCTACTGCATAGACAAAGAGAAAAAAATTAAAGTGGATCCTATCCCTTTTTGAGTGTGTGGAAAAAAAAAGTTATATCATGTAACATGAAATTTTAAATTATTTCAAAAGAGATGGTTTTAAATACCTGAATTTGCTTACATGTATAAACTTGGGATAATATATGTTAATTTAAGTTCCTACACAAGCCCGATATTGTAAGACCCCACTTTTAAAATGTGAAAAGGGGAAAAATAAGATGAAATTGAAACAATGTTTTTCATGGTATTTTTCCCCACTACCACCATCTTTTCACTCTTCCTAGTCAATCATCACACCACTCACCTAACCATTTTATTTTGTCTCCCACTACCATCTTTCATTTTCAGACACCACTATCTTTATCTCTTTTTCCATTTCTCTACTTCTCTTATTGGTGATCGACTGATTCTTAAACCGTAACAGAAGACAACCAAAGAAGAAGATGAGGAGGAGGCTGAGACCCGCAGCTGCAGTAGAAGGAGAAGAAAAAAAGACCAAAGTTATGGGTTAGAGGTCTCAACGGGTAAATACCTTTAGAGAACACTTATTTTTCTGTTTTGGAAACTCGATTTTGATGACATGCATCAAGTATAAAGTAGTCTTTTTGTGGATTTTGATGATTTATTCAAGAACTCTTTTATTTCATACGTGTAGGTATATGGGTTTAGAATTAATTGGTGAAATCTTTTGTTTTATATTGTAAATTTATTCTTCTGATGTATTAGGTACATATATGGATTATAACCATTATTAAGCAAGAAAGATGGTAATTTTGGGTAATATGAATTTTTGGACGGATATTTGGTATTTTGCTACCGAATATTTGTCAAGGCATATTCAGATATCTGGGAAGTGATGAACAGTATCCGGATATATGAACAATACATATCTAGATATGTGGTATTCAGATATGTGAACATTGCATATCCGGATATATGTGAACAATACCGTATAAATGAACAATGCATGTAAACAATACCATATAAATGAACTGTGCATGTGAAGAATACCGAAATTTCATTTTATTTAAACCATATAATATTGAATTCCATGTAATGCTATGGCTGATTATGAGTTATTAGCTTACATATTGCTAT